TGCCTGGAAAGCTGCAGCCTCCGTGACTCACAAAACTCACTCCCTTAGAAGTTTTCTCCATGTCCGGGGGAGCCAGGAAACACCTTTCAGTTAAAACTTGCTTTCACACAAAAAAGTAGTTTCACAACACTAACATACTTTTTGCAAATTTGTGACAATTTTGACAAAATTGTTCTGTTAAAAAGAGCCTCGCATTTTAATTTTTTTAAAAAATCAGATGTTTTCCAAACAAATACTTTCTTTTTCTTCTAAATTCAGAGAGTTCATAAGTTGTCAAATTCAGTTCAGTGAGGCTAAAAAAAAAAAATCCAAAAATCTCAACTGGAAAAAAACCTGTATCTTTGAAGTAAAGTCCAAAGTAATTATTATTGATGTGGGTTTTTTTATTATTGAACCTTGGACTTTCTTCCAATTTTAACATTCATTAGTAAACACAAGAATCAGTGATCTACGCTGCTCTAATCTGTAAATATCAGCTGTATTTAACCTGCGGGACTGGAAACCCAGAGCACGCCACAGGCTGACCACCAGTAATCTGCCAGGTCTTCTCCTGGTCCCCCACATTTTCTTTGTCCACAGAAGTCCCACAGGAGGAGGACACTGATAACTCTGCCTTCTGCTCTGTGGACCAAGTACACTTGGCTGCTAATCTGCCTGCTCTAGACCAAGTAGTCCACATACCACAAAAAACAGAAGCACAGAAAAGGGAAAAATTACCAAAATACAGCCCTACTGAAACAAAATGTGTCTTTTGGAAACAATGTTCCCCCTGGGAAGAAGCTGAGCGGGAAAATACACTATATCTAGCAAAAGCACGTCACATTCTACCCAATTTATCTCAGTGAGAATACTCAGGATAACAACCAGCTAAAAATTCCAGGACGAGCAAGCAGGATTCACAGGCCAGTCTTTGAAGGGCAGGCTTGGGAAATTTTCTCAAGACTGGATTATCAGAAACCGTGCCAGGACGAATTACGGGTCCAACACGTGAGGGCGATCGCTGCTGCAGCAAGATCCCTCTGGAAGGGAACAGCAGCCTGCAGGTGGAGGGGCCCATACAGGCATTTCAGGTGTTGATGCCACCTTCACGGCCAGCTCCTGAGGATGACAGACACAGCACCCCAAAGACACATAAGCCCGCACCAAGCAGAGCGAGGCAGGGACAGCAGCCCCAGCCCGCTGGCTGCTTCTCACCGCCTGCCTGCCAGCCGTGCTCACAACCTGCCTGCACTGGCAGGGCAAGGGCAGTGGGAAAGCAGGCGCGGACTGGGCGCCATGCTTTTGCTGCTTCCTTCAGACGTACCCACAGCTGGACCTCGCTGCCTGCCTCTGGCTTGCCCTTCAGGGACGGCGGCCAAGCCCCCAAGAGCTGGCAGGAGTCCCTGAGGGATTTGCCCCAGCTGGGAGCCTGGTGTCGTCCTGGCACGCAGTCCCTGCCTGCTCTGGCCCCGCTGGCAGCTGATGGAGGATGCCGGCATGACAGGAGGAGGCTCAGCATCACGTACCCCCCCGCGCTTGCACAACACCAGGGCCGGCGTGGTTTGTGGTTGGAAGGAGCTTTCATGAAAAAGAACATTTCCCAAGGGGACTGAAAAAAGCCATTTTGGAAAACCTCTTCAATGAGCAGTTTTGAAAGAAGAAAGCTGCTTTTCAAAACACCTGAGATCCTCTGCATGGAAACGGGAAGCTGCTCTTGGTCACTGGACCCTTGGTTACCTGGTGTTGTACCCAGCAATTTATCTACTCCCACAGGAAAGAAGTGAATAAAGCATTAATAAATGGAAAAGGGGAAATGCTTTCTGAACAATTAATATTTTTCTTTTTGGTTTTTTTGAGGAGGTAATAGAAGGTGATAGATTTCGGCAAAAGAACAGCCCTCACAAATTATTTTTGTGTAAAACTTTCAGAACAAAATCTTCACTTCCTGTTTTTCAATGAAAAAAAAAGACAAACAGCAAGTTCTGAGCCCCCTAAGCTCCTACCTATGTTCTTTAAACACAATATGATAAAACTATGTCCAAAATTTCATCCAGCTGTAGCCAAGAGAGAGCCCCTGGAGCTGCAATGTACTGCAAGAGCCCAGCCAACCATGAGTACACAGTCACTCACAGGATCCCAGGTAGTGCTATTAATGCCATACAATTAATTAGACAGTGTCTGTACTGCCAGATGAAAGAACAGCCAGAAAATGCAGCGCTAGCTGTTAATTGCTATAACCAGCAGTGTAAGCAGCACCCTGCTTCTGTGGCTGAGCACCCACAACACCCTCCTCGAACAAACCTGAACAGTGAAATACCTTTTGCTTGTTAAAGCTCATTTCTCTCCTAAAAGCAGGAGGAACAACCTGCTGGCTAGAACCGCAAAATGCTTCCTATACCTTTCATGCTCAGTTACCTACAGACACTACCACAGCCACCTGTCTGGATGGCCAAAGTGATGCTGAGGGCAAAATCCAGCTTTGAGCAGGGCACAGGGCTTGCTCCGTTAGCAGGTGAGGTATCACACACAGATCCACCTCCAAGGGTGCCAGGGAGCCTGCCACCACCAGCAGGCTCAGGCAGTGTTTTCCTGGGATGTCAGGAACTGTACTGTCAGCAGCAGCTTCCTCCTGGGAGCACCGAGGATGCATGTGCAGAAATACAGCCCACACGTACAGGCAGACATGCACCACCATAGAGATCTGACAGCGTGCACGGACAGGTATGTGCATGTAGAGAAAAAGAGGCTTGTAAATCCACCGGTAAACCCATTGCAAGAATCCAGTGGATCAACAGATTGGTTATTACCATCTATGACCCCTTCCACCAGTACACTTATACTCACGAAAAGAAGATCCCACTCATGTCTGTAACATCTTGTAGTCATTGATTAACCCTTCAACAAACAGTCTAGGTGCAGCCATCACCTGAACTTTCACATGTGTGATTTCAAAATGAAATTAGCCCATACACTGGCTAATTTTTCCTGCATGTCAGCCAAGCAGTTTATAGCAATTGCAGCTGGAAGGTACTTGGTCACATTCAGACAACGTCCCTCCAAAGTTCTCAGTCCCATCAAGACTGCCAATTAACTTCTAATGAAGGTTGTATATAATTTTATGATCGTACAGATTGGACAGTATTTCCCCCTTATTTTATCTTTATATTAACTAGCACCTGCTCAAAGATGTACAATTTTATTTTTAATGGTTCTGAGTGGGTTGTCATATTTTAAGAAAACAGTAACATGCAGATTTTTGTAACACTACCTCATTTCCAAGAAGCTACAAGGCACAGAAATCCCATCAATGACTAATGAGTTGTGGGTTAAGGTGGACGTACCTTGCTGTGAAGTCACTGTACTATTCTCGACCCGTGCTGCCTGCCATAAAATTTTAATGCTGCCTCTGACATATTTATGAAATACCTCACCTAGTCTTTGCAGCATGACAAAAAGATTTACATCTACAATTACTGCAAGCACATAGGTTTTAGCTATGCACTTTAAACTTTTGTACACAAAGGTATTTAACTTTAATACAACAAAGGTAGGTGGTGCCACAGAGCAACCACATTGGAACTGCATTAGCAGAGATTTATCACCCTGTTCCAGGAGGACAACTGCCCAACTCATCTGCATAGAAGATGGCATTGCAATTAATGATGATGAGGAATCTGCCCCTTCCCTCTTGCGGCTCCCCGCTGCACAGTTGTCCACCCTCTCTACCAGCCACCGGCATGCAGCCTGTTGGGACCCCAGGCAGACCCAGCAGTGCGAAGCTGCACCGCCGGCGATACCAAGCCCAGCGAGCCATGCTCACGATGCACCAGAGCCTTGGCACCAGCGCTATTGGACACAGGGCTGGGAACACGGTGCTGCTCTGTGCCAGTTGCTGCAGCTGCTCACCCCAGACCAGCTCACAGCTCCCCCAAGCCTGGTCTGTGGGGCTGCCTGCGACTTCCGCAAAGCCCCATTTTACCCCACGCCCAGGCAAGTGGATGAGGGGCACGGAGTGGACAAGGGACATGGAGTGCTCTCCATCTATATGCATAGGGCATCACTCACTCCCTGCCCTTGTACCCAGGGTCTCCAGATCTGCATGTGTGCAGCCTGACAGCATACAAGGGCAGGCATCGTTTCATCATCTCTGCTCCGGACTGACCGGCTGGTAGCACAGGCAGGATGAAAAGGAAAACTTCCATCTCACAGAAAATACCAAGCTTTACAATACCGTTTCATCCCAAATTGGTGTAAAAAGTGTCAAGAAGTATCTTGTGGGATGAAACTCTCCAAACTATGTAATGGAAATGTTGCATTTAGTTCAGATGAAAATATTCCACTCCATGCTTTGTCCTGATTTTAGCCTTTTCTATAATTTCAGCCTTCATAATGATAATGTAATGTGTAGTTACTTGCAGGAATTACACAAGTAATTTAGCTAGTAGCAGAAGTAGATATAATATTACGAGGTATAATAACATAGATACAGTGTGGAAATTCTGAAGTCCGGTAATTAAGCATTTTCGTAGCTTGATAAAGGTATGTTGTTGCTGACATGGAAGCAGTCTTCAATTATCTGCAAACATGGTGTGAACAGGGGCAGGCAAGTGTCTGCATGGCT